ACCCCCTTCAAGAAATGACATTCGACATTTAAAATTTAATATATATATATGTATATATATATAATTGAATGAATACTGTGAATGTAATCTATGAATACCACAAATGTGATTAATATCATGAGTGTAATTAATGAATATCATGAGTGTAATTTAAAAAATAAATAAATAAATAAATAAATAAATAAATAAATAAATAAATAAATAAATAAATAAAAGGGAGATCTGGAACTAGAGGAAAGATTTGGGAAAGGAGGTAGTTAAGTTTAATTGGCACATTCACCAGGCCTTCCCAAATGGGTAGTCTGGACACTTAAGTCTGTTCTTAGAGAGTACAGAGGTGTCTCTGATAAGGTACTATCCTCCGTCTGGGGATGGTCCTGGCTGGATGCTGCCAATGATGATAATTACAGGGAGCCTTCAACTGAGGTTCTGGCTGTGCATAGCTTCAGTGCAGAAGGTTATCTAAACAGTCCTAGAAGTGGTTAGGTAAGAAGTTAGGGGTCTATAAAGTTAGTAAGGCTGTAAGAAAAGAGAGTCCAAACTAAATTGTGTAAAGCTATTACTTAAGGTCCACCTGACCTAGGTGGTGTCTCCTTGTGGAATTTACTTTAAATCAGGAGACTAGCATGTGGTGGTCTGGACTGTTATTTCTGTTAGTCCTTGAATGTGGCTAAGGGAGATATCTGATTCCAGTGCTGAAAGGGGAGAAACGGATGTGCTGGGGGAAAGGAACCCTTTCCTGAGGCTGTTCTCCAAATACCTTGAATGTGTATGTCCAGAGAGTAATCAGTCCACACTATTAGCACTTCTTAGGGAAAAATCAACTGGAAAACTATGAAGGCACACATGATTTTCATAACAGAAGACAGATGATATATAACAAGCCAAATAACACCAAAAGCTCCCTGGGATTTGGCTTCCTCTGAAGGAATTCCTTGATCCCTTCAGGTAGTGGCTCTGCCATAACCAGCTGAGTTCTTAAATTCCTGCGGCCTGTAGCACTAAGAGTGTCATCAGACAGCATCTTCGGCCTGGAGGAAAGCTTCCCCCATCTCGCTGTAACTGTGTTCTAATGTACCCACTGATGTATTTTAAACTTGCCTTGATTTATGAATTTCTTTGTCCTATAAAACTTCATAAACCTGCCTCCATGGACTTGGGGTAACCTACACCTGTGTTTCCTTACCGTGGTCATTCAAAATGATTCCAGAATAAACTATCGCATTCCCTTTAAGAAAGATGAGAGCTATAGTTTTTTGCATTGACCCCTCCAAGTTACTTTTGGTCATGAAGTTTTATCACAGCAATAGAAAGCAAACTCAAACAAATGTGTATTATTTTCATCCTTTATAGTACCCAAAGAGATATTATATTTCCACTTCCAATGAGGAGAATGAGACATTAATTAAAAAAAATGAGTGGACTCTAATTTAATTTTCCACACATAATCAGCAACAAGTCTGTGAAATTCCTTCTTTTGGTTTTTTTTTTTTTCTTTTTTTTGTTTTTCGAGACAGAGTTTCTCTGTGTAGTTTTGGTGCTTGTTCTGGATCTTGCTCTGTATACCAGGCTGGCCTTGAACTCACAGAGATCTGCCTCCCAAGTACTGGGATTAAAGGCATGTGCCACTGCCACCCGGCCATCTTTTGGTTATCTTAAAGACATAATATCTGGCCGGGCGGTGGTGGCGCACGCCTTTAATCCCAGCACTCAGGAGGCACAGCCAGGTGGATCTTTGTGCGTTCGAGGCCAGCCTGGTCTACAGAGCGAGATCCAGGAAAGGCACACAGATAAAATAGTTTCTGTTTTGCGTTAGGATTTTCTGAGCAAAGAAAATTAGGGCCTTGAGTTTTACCCCAGGACAAGTTGGGAGAAACTTCTTTAAGTGTTCACATTTCAAAGAACTGCAAATGCTAAGGGTTCTCCTCTCTCCAGGAGAAGGATGGTGTGCAGCCTGTTTCAACCCCCAAATCAACAACTCCGAGACTTTCCTCTTGCAGCACACACCCCCATATACACAGGATGACTTCTGGTTCACGTGGGCCAAGTGGATACGAGGAACCAATGTGGTTTTTACTGTAAGTAGTAACAACTGTGAGCTCTGCTGTGGAAAGCTCACTTGCTTTCGGGATGCCGTGAGTGCAGACAGACTTACCACAAATGGGAGGATACACTCGTGTTGGTTTTGTACTGTGTACAAGCTGAACAGAGACATGCGGCTGGGGCCCATCAAACTGCAGGCTATGGAGAAAAAGTTCTGTAAGGCCTCACAGAGGTTGGGGCAGATGTTGGCCCAGGAAGGTACAGCAATATGCACAATGAGAAGCCTTGGAGGCTGATGACTTATCTTCGTGGTAGGAGAGGTCCCTCTGTTAGTGGTTCTCCTTCGATTCATGGCAGCCAAAAACCAGTGTGGAACTGTAGCCACCACTTGAATAACGGATATTTTTTTCTAAACCTAAAGGAAAAGAAAAAGAAATGGCTGGCTTTCATAAAACTGGATTAGGTACTTGAAGCAAAGGATATAAATTGAGGGGATAAATCCGAAAAGGATTCAGTCTGGGTACTAAATCAAACTTGTCAAGGTCATCCCATATTAATGGCACCCAAGGGATCTAGATGTTTTAGTGTAAGTATGAGAATGCTTACAGATGCTAAGTGAAAGTACTAAAGACTAAAGGGGTTACACAAAAGTCAAACGTCAGGTTTGTTTTTGGTTTTTCTACAGGGTCTCGTGTTTCCTAGGTTAGCCTGGAGTTCATATGTAGCTGAGGATGATCTTGAACTCCTGATCTTTCTGCTTCCACCTCCCAAGTGCAGAGATTATAGACAAACATCACTGTGCCTCAAATCAAGCTTTGTGTAGGCTATTTGCCCTCCTAAGTTTTGTTGTTGCTTATTATGCTGTATTGTAACTTGTTTCTGTGTCTGTTTCCAATCATATTGTAAGGTTTTCCACAGTGCAGGTGTGGGATACCTCCATGGGAGCTGTGGGTCAGGTATGCTCCCAGAACAGTAAAGGTTCTTGCTGTTTTTCTTGGTTCCCCATTATAACTAACTGATAAGCTCCTATTGCTGAAGGCACCACACACCTAGGATAAAAGCTACAGAGAAATCAAGCTGGAACCAAGCCAGAAGTTTCCTCCTTGAGGGCTACCTCTCCCAGTGCTGAAAGGTGCTACGAAGACTGCTGGGGGCAAGAGGAACCAACAGTTTTACCCAGCTGTGAACTCTAGGAACTCTGGCAAGATGTGCCCCTTGATGCGATAGTGGCATGACTGTTATGGGGCAGGAGTAACCAACCACTTTCCAATTAGATTTCAAGCTGGCTCTATAAGAGGAAACGCTACTTCTGCAAACCTGGTCCAAAGCACATGACTGTAGAGTTCATGGGCCCTAGTGGAGGAATCTAACACTGCTGCTTAGCTAAACTGACATACTATTAAACCACCTTCTAAATACTTATGTTTATACCCACAGACGAAGGAGACTATCAGCTTTGGAATGAAGCCACTCCTGGCAGTGAACAGAGAAGACCTTGCACAAGATGCTGAGAATAAAGGATGGATGATCAAAGGCTCAGCCCTAAATAAGACAGCTACACCATCCGTTTAAGTCTCAGAGGACACTTTGGAAGAGGAGTCAGAAAGATGGAAGAGATGGAAGATATGGAGAAGGGCTGAAAAATGCCATCCTCTAACTGCAACATGGCCGTAACAATCATAAAAACCAAAGCAGCTGTGCCTACTAATCCTCCTAACGGTCAGCTATGGAAGAGGGAGGGGCCCATAGGGTCCTACCATTTATTACTGATCTGTCTGCAGCTAGCAGATTCTGGAAGATGGGGAGGTATAGGTAGTATCCAGTTATATATGACACTAAACAGAACAAAAACTAGTAAACATGGGAAAGAGGTTTTTAAGGAAGAAGGGGGGCTGGCAAGGGTGGGAGGGGAATAAGAGAAGATGATAGGGTGGAGAGCAACCAGAATGAATTATCTACATGTATAAAATTGTCAAAGAACAAATTTCGTTAATAAAAAACAGAAAAGTAACATTATTTTTACTCATGAACTTAGATGTAAAAGTCCCAAACAAGACAAGAATATTAAAGCTAGGAACACGTGAAAAGAATAATGCAACGTGGACTGGAGAGATGGCTCAGCAGTTGGCGCCCTTGCTGCTCATCCAGAGGACCCAGGTTCAATTTCCAGCACCCATGTGGCAGCTCACCATTATGTGTGACACCAGTCCCAGGGGATCTGTCATCCTCTTTAGGGCTTTTCAAGCACCAGATACTCAAGTAGTGCATAGACACACATGCGGGCATAACATTCATACGTATAAAAATAACATAACCAAATTGGGTTTGTCTCAGAAGCACAATGTCAGCTAGGAATGGTGGCTCACACACACCTCTAACTCAGCATTTAGGAGGCTGGAGCAGGAGAACTGCTTACAGCTTGAGGCCAGCCAGAATAAGGAAAACTAGTCTTGAAAGAAACCAAAGAACCTAAGTTTAATAAAACACCAGAATCATAATAATCTACCATATTGGAAGATTAAATGAGAAAATTATATGATCCTCTATAGATATGCAAAAACTGTTTGTTAAAATCCAATGTCCATACATGACAAAGTCCCTTAGTAACTTGGAATAGAATAATCTGATTAAAATATGTGAGTAAAAACTTAGAGCATCAGGTCATGGTGGCTCATGCCTATAATCCTACTAGGTGTGAAGCTGAGGCTGGAAGATTGAGGCTAGCCTGGGCTATATTGTGAGGTTTAGGCCAGACTAATCTAACATTGACTCAATCTCAAAAAAAGTGTAGAGTAGCCTAGGCCTGATGGCATACACCTGTAATCATGAGGCAGAGGCAGGTGGATGATGTGTTTGGGACCAGCTTGGGATTTGCAGTGGGTTCTGTTAGCCTTCTGATACAGAATGAGACCTTGCATAATAAAAACCACCATCATCAAAACAAAAACCCTGGAGCAAACCCATTCTATATTTTTAGATGGAGGATTGAACCTAGGTCCCCCCCACAGTAACTATGATATCTTCTACCACTAAGCCACACCCCCAGCCACAAACTCATTCTTTTGTATGTATATGTACACACATGTTTTTGTATGTATGAAGGCCAGAAGATGATCTCTGGAGTCATTCCTCAGGATTCACCCAATTGTTATTTGTAACAGGGCCTCATATTGGGAACTTGGGCTTGCTGATTAAGCTGGCCATCGAACTCCAAAAATTCATCTTTCTGCCTTCACAGTGCTGGGATTCCAAGTGCATGCAATCATGTGTGGCTTTTTATGTGGGTACTGAGGATCCCAATTCAGGCGTAGCAAGCAGTTTCATTAAAGTATCTCTTTGGTCACACAATCATTCTTTTTTTTTAAGGTTTATTTTTATTTTATGTGCACTGGTGTTTTGCTTACATATGTAAGGGTGCCAGACATCCTGGAACTGGAGTCACAGACAGTTGTGAACATTCTGTGTGGATGCTGGGAATTGAACCCTAGTCCTCTGGAAGAGCAGTCAGTGCTCTGAACCGCTGAGCCATCTCCAGCACCACAATTACCCCCCCACACACACCTCCAAGGGACTAAACATGAGTCTTCATTGGCCACAGCTACTTGAGGGGGATGAAGTGGGAGGAGGGCATGGCTCCGATACCAGGCCAGCCTTCACAGGCTTGTAGGTGATAGAGAATTCGCCCAGGTAGTGGCCGATCATCTCTGGTTTGATTTCCACCTGGCTGAAGGTCTTGCCATTCATTGTACACGCCTACCGTGCTGCCTACCATCTTGGGCAGAATGATCATGTCCCTCAAGTGGGTCTTCACTATCTTGGGCTTCTTCATGGGTGGCGCTTCCTTCTTGGCCTCTCTCAGGCGCTTGAATAATGGGTGCGGCTTCCACCGCAGGTTCAGGCGCCGCCTCTGTGGGGCGCTGGCTGTATAAATACATCAGGTGCTCACAGACAATAGGAAGTGTCCAGCAGCTGGTCCAGGTCCACGCTGCAGTAGGTGAACTTGCAGAAGATCTACATCTTCTTCTGCTTTACTTTAGCCGTCTTGGCGGCTGCTAGGGAAAGGAAGCGTGGGCTGCGTCCGTGCAGGTCAACGATCATTCTTAATAGTAGTGTGTTGACAGTTTTCTCCATAAGATGAAGAGCTTGCTACCATCAACTGAACCATTTCACTAACTCTGGCTTAAAAGCACTCTTGGAACTGGAAATCCAAATCAATGCCTAATGTATTTACCAAGAAAGCAACAACAGTATTTAATCTTTTTACTGTACTTTTAAAGTAGTACATGGCTTAGTAGCCTGAAGCAGGAGGATTATCACAAGATCAAGGTCACTCTGTCTCAGAAACAAACAAAATAAACAAAAATGAACAAATGAACTGGTGTACAAGGCCAGCTTCTAAATGGAATATTCTGTTTGAGGGTGACATATATTGATATAGAAAAAATGGGCACACAGAAGGCTTATTCACCACACTTACATGCCTATTTTCCTTCATATATATAAAAAACATTGTTTTATTCTATCTCTCTATCTGAGACAAGTCCTATCTATCTATCTATCTATCTATCTATCTATCTATCTATCTATCTATCTATCATCTATCTGAGACAAGGTCTCACTTTGTAGTCCAGGCTAGCCTGGAATTCTAATGTAGTCCAGGTTGACGTTACACTCATTGTTTGTCCCACCTCAGTGTCCCAAATGTTGGGATCACAGAGGTGAGCCACCATGTCCAGCTTGAAAACATCATTTTAGATGCAGGCAGCGTGCACTTCACACAGGTTCATTTTATGCCAATTTCAGCTACTCCAGGGCTGGTAATTAGCACTAGTCCATCAGAACAATTCAGATTTCAGGTTGCTGTGGAAACTAATGAAGCAATTACATAAACCATTATGGAAATAACAGATGTATATCAATCACGACTATCAGTAAGCAATTATATAACTCCTTTAAAAGTCCCTCAGTGAATGGTCACTGCAGAGTCCAGGCAGCAAAGTAAGTGTGTTGCTTCCTTTTCTCTTTGTGACTAGTCTATGTGGTATTTTATAGGAAATTGGTTATGACAAAAAAGATGCAGATATTCTAGAGGAAAGTACCTCTAGCAAAAACAGAATCATTAAAGGAACTCTCAGGCAAATGTTTAAACAGATCCCAACTTAGGAGTCTAACAATTTTCTGAGGTGTAGGAAGAAAGTGTGGTCTATCATAATTTATCTTTGAGAAGAATGAAAGCACGTGGCATTGTTCAAACCACTGAGGTTTTGCTTAAAAACAATTTTGTTTGTTGTTATTTTTTAGACAGATCCCACTTTATAGCCCAGGTTGGCGTTGAACCCTTGTCCTCCTGATACCTTTGAAGTGCTGAGATTACAGGAATATGTCATCATACCCACTGCCCAGAAGCTATTCCTCCCCTTTTAAATACAAACAAAACATTTCCAGTGTTATTACAGCATGTGAAATATGAACTCTACATTCTCTTAAATACTTTCACAGGAAGAGAGCCTTCTGTGTTTCCCCACTGATTAGGACAGCCTCATGTTTCAGGTTGTACAGTTATTTTATTTTAGGTCAGTGGGAAATAATGCTAATAAAAATTTTGTATATCTTCTCACACATCTATCTTGCTTTGTATTAGGAAATGGATTGTGATTATTTCATTGCAAGTAAAATATTACAAAATATTTACAGGAAAGTATGACAAATAAACACAAAGTCCAGATTAAATAAGGTGGGGGAGATGACTCATAGGCAAACTGCTCGCTGAACAAGCCTGACAACTTGGGATGTGAATCCCCAAAACCCACCTAAAGCCAGACATAGCATACTAGCCTACTTCTACCTTAACATAGGAAGCAGAGGTGGGGGAAGTCCCAGAAGCCATTGCGCTAGCTTGACTGGCATATGTACTATGAACAACCAAAAGAAACCCTGTTTCACACATGATGAAAAGAAAGAACCAACATCCGAAGTTGTTCTCTGACCTTTACACTCAAGTGGTGTGATTGCACACAAATGAACACGTGTGTGTGTGTGTGTGTGTGTGTGTGTATACACATATCATAGACATAAACACACACCATACACACAAAGAAAAGAAAATACAAAGATGAAGTAAACTTTTTTTTTTCTCAGAAATCTTTAGTGCTCATAGCATACAAGAGCAGCTTAAGTTTTTTCTGATTACAAATTTTCAAGGAGATGGAGAACAGACTGAGATGGAAATGATGGTGTGAAAGGGAATGGGTGCTAGCAGTGATGCTAACCAGTCTATTCTGAAAGAGATACCATCTCTGCAGCAAGTTCTAAGAGTAAGCATTAAGATATTCCTTGCACTGAAATCAGACGATGCCCTGACAGTATGTGGTAGTTTGAATGTAATTGGCCCCCATATTCTCATAGGGAGTGGCACTATAGGAGGCATGGCTTTGTTGGAGTAGGTGTGACCTTGTTGGAGGATTTGTGTTACTGTGGGTTGGGCTTTGAGGTTTCCTACGCTCAGGATACTTCCCAGTGTGTTAGTTGACTTCCTGTTGCCTGTAAGATGTAGAACTCTCAGCTCCAGCACCACATCTGCCTGCATGCTGCCATGCTTCCCATCACGATGACAATGGACTGAAGTGTAAGCCAGCCACCCCTTCCTTTGTAAGAGTTGCTGTGGTCATGGTGTCTCTTCATATCAATGAGAACCCTAACTGAGACACCATAGAAATATCTCTTTCCGCCAGGCGGTGGTGGCGCACACCTTTAATCCCAGCACT